TGACTTGTCATCGTCAGAAAAATCACTGTCAATTTAAGATCACCCTACAGCATGCTATTTTTCATATGCAACTATGTTGTTCTGTGGTTGCTGGATGTAATTATACACAAATTTGAGATGGACTTATGGACGAAGGACTGAATATGGTTGTCATTTTCTGATGGTGTTACATCAGAAAGAACTCCAACTTGCTTAACCTGAAATTGACAGCAATGGACTCAATTGCATCAGCCACAGACTTGACCTGCACTAATAAGTTAATATTATAGAGGAGTATCAGAATTACAGACGTTATATTCTCACTGCTGACCTTTATGTTCTCTATGTTATCCCACCCATTTACGATGTAATCACAAGAAAAAAAAACACCTTGCTATAGCAAAAAGTACGTGATACCACACCGCCTTCTAAAACAAACATGTTTTTCAGGACATCAAACAGTCTGTTGTCCCTTGGACTCATTTGACATAAAGTACGTTTTTTGGGCAGATGACCATTTGTTTCCAATAAAATTGAACTTATCTCTGGTGACCATATATACATTTTAGCAAATATCTGCCCACTATTTGCTTAAGCAATTCCATATATTGCATTAATACCCAGATATTGAAATGGGAGAAAACATGTCAGCAACTTGGACATGTGCAGATGCAGGGACCACCAATTTTTCAAGTCTTTAAAATAGACTGCTTATGGGTGACAGTTTTAGAGCACAGCCTACATGCAAGACAGTTTCACAGTGCCCATAAGGATATGGAATTTGAGAGGCAAGCTATGTACTCTTATCCATATGTGAAACTTGAGCCTATCAGAGGTACAGTAATGCCTCCACAGTAATACAGAATAAAAAAGCAAACAAGATGAAAAGGAAGGAGTAGCAACAAGGAACCCCACTGCCCTCCGCAGGGTAACACACCCAGCAAAGGCACAAAAACTCCTGTTAGAAGAACTCTAGTTGCAGCGGTTCTATAGTCTACATGGAAAGGTCCAATGGAAATGTAAAAAGCACCCTGTTAAACAGACTTTCTATAATAACACTAATAGCAGATTCATTCTTCTTCGGACTTTTATTTCAAGGAAAGTATTTTTTCTTGAATGCATTTGCCATAGCGGCTTCTTACCTGGATGTCCTTCTCCTACTGACTCTGATGTGAACATGAAAGCTCCTTCATCATCCAGCGTGTGATCGCATAAACCATCCACTGGCCCATTCATGGCTGTGATGCTTTTCCTGATGGATTATTTTAAAAAGTGGTTGAGGATTTCTGCCTTTAGTGCCTTCTGTTAAAAGCGAAGGTTCTTTCTGAGCAGGACTGCCACTGTGTTCACTCACTACCTGTAATACTAACTCAAATTTTAGTCTGTGAAATCAGCATGGGCTTCTATCTGTGTATGCATGCAAGGAGTACGCATGTGCCTGAAGTCTGTATCCCTACCTAGCCTGATCTGTCAGTCTCTGGGCTGCTCCTATATATGGAAAAGTGAAAGTGCCTAGAAAATCATGTGAGGAAAATGGAAGAGCCCATTTCTTGGCAGGGGAGTTAGTTAATTTGGGGATATTTCACTAATTAACTCAGTTCTTGGAAACACTCTGGATTCAACCCATGCAAGATTAAGTATCGTAGGAATTCAAATGAGCGTGAAGTAATCCAGGAGTACTGGTGACGGTTCAGTTCAGCTGCTTCTCCACTTTGCCTCTCCCCCAGTTCTGGGACCTATGCTGTGTTTCCAACCGTGTGTTGTGGTTTCACAGGGATAGATTAAAAAAGGGTAAATGCATGCCTTTCGTAGAAAAGACTGGAAGAAGTTTGTTCTGCATTCTGTAACTGTATTTTCCTTTTCCTTTTTCACCTCTGGAAAAGTAGAATTCTCTCCTGAAGTATTTTTTTTTCATTTTCATTCATTACTCCTGTGTGTTTGAGACACGAAACATTTGATAAGATACAGCACATGACAAATTTCTCATTTATGCAGACCTCTTACTGCAACCTTTGCTCTCCTTTTCATCTGCCTTCTCTCCTGTTAAGATCCATCTTAATTTTCTACTTGAATAATACCCTCACATTACATTCTGTAATCCTTAGAAATAGACTGACTGCCTCGGCTGAGAACTCAGTACTCAGTTCCACCACGAAAAACGACTTCAGTCAGATGGCTAGTGTCTGGGATATGCTGGTGGTATGACAGGTATGAAGGCAGACTGCATTTTGTGGATATATGTCTGTAAGTCTGAATGCAAAAAAAAATGCAAACATACCTATGAGGCAGACCCAGACCATGCCCAGCACTACTGCACCATTATCAATATTAATAATAATAATAATAATAATGTTTGTTTGTTCTTAATTCATTTACAGAAATTGCTCTAGCCTCAGTTTCAGATCAAGTTATAGATCTAACAAAACCAAATTTTCCCTTCACTGAACACTAAGTTATACTCTCTTAATCATTCACTCCAACATTACAATACAACACCTGGTATTTGGATTGAAACAAATAACATAGCACACGTTCCATAGTCCTGAAATGTTGACTGCAGTGACATCCTTACTACTCTTCTGTTTAAAAAATCAGTTTACCTCCAACTCTTCATGTTATTTTAGAATACCCCTGTATACGGTCCCTTGGACTTAAATTTCTGCATTGCCACATATTTATGTAAGAATTCATTAGAATTTTCACTTTCTACCTACATTCCTGAAAATAATAACCAGTTTCTGTGAATGTTCACCAGTGATCTGCTGCAGCATTGGTCCACCTCTAATTATCACAGACATGGATTAGTCTTTTTCCAAACACTCTCTCTTGGTTTTCTATTGCATAGAATTCATGTCACAGGACAAAAAAGTACCAGTTGCACTTAACAATGCAGAATTCACACACCAGATAACATGAGCCATAGCTTTCTCTGGAGTAAATTTTCATCATTCCACTGACACTAAGATTCCATCCCAGCCTGAATAAATCCTGCATTGATATCACAGAGAAAGGTAGAATTAAACAAAACAAACAAAAACAAAAAACAACAAGAAATGAAGATCAAAGAGTAACTAATTATGTTAACTTTAGTTAATGCCTAACATTCAAAAATTATATTAACTTTTAAAGTAAAACAATGTCAGCAGCATGCACGTGTTCTTAAATGTAATTGTTTTTTTCTATGGCAGTACAGAATGGATAAAACACCTCTGACAAAAACAAACAAACAAACAAACAAAAAACCATAAACACAAGAGTTTTAATTCTGATTCTATGGTCAATCCTCCAGCAAAAGAAGACAAGATCGAATATTCTCAATCTGCAACCCTCTTATTCTGTATAAAAATAAAAATTGCAAGCTCTTAAAATGCTAATTAGTGCAATTAATTGGACACACGAGCAGTGAATTTGCAGATCTGTTGTTTATCCTGCTTTTGCAGTTCCTTCCTTTGAATTAGTTTCTGCCTAGTTAAACACATTGGTCTGTGAGACCTTTGGGGGGTCAGCCTTCATTAAATAGCCTCTCCACTAATAGTGCTTTTTAGAAATGCTGCACAGCTGCATTTCACATAACTCATGTAAAACCTTCACTTGGAACTGCTTGCAGTCGCAATTTTACTATCAAGAGCAACACATTTGCTATATGGCCATGAAGCATCTCAGCATGCTCTTTTCTAGGACATCTTCCAGGACTCTAAATGAGCGTAGGCTTAGGTAAAGTTTAATTTGGCTTCAATTCCCAGACAATTTGACTTGCTAAATATTTGTGAAAAGCTAAGATAGAGCTCTAACATCATACAGTTTTGGCACAGATCTTCTGCCTATGAGAAAAAAATAAAAAACAAAAAACAAACAAAAAAAAACAGTTTATAGTAAACAAAAGATGGATATAAGCATTTTTTTCCCCACTGCATTTTACAGATAGAGACTCACCTATCAATGCTACCAGTGCAACTGGCTTCCAACATTTCTTTTTACTTTACACCACTTTGTGGTGGTGAATGGAGTCAAATCCAGCTGGCGACCGGTCATGAGTGGTGTTCGCCAGGGGTCGGTGCTGGGGCCTGTCCTCTTCAATATCTTTATTGATGACCTCGATGAGGGCATCGAGTGCACCCTCAGTAAATTCGCAGATGACACCAAATTGGCTGGAAGTGTGGATCTGCCTGGGGGTAGCGAGGCCCTACAGAGGGATCTAGACAGGGTGGAGAGCTGGGCTGAAGCCAATAGGATGAGTTTCAACAAGGCCAAATGCCGGGTCCTGCACTTCGGCCACAACAACCCCAGGCGATGCTACAGGCTTGGGGCGGTGTGGCTGGAGGACTGCATAGAGGAAATGGACCTGGGGGTATTGATTGATGCTCGGCTGAACATGAGCCAGCAGTGTGCCCAGGTTGCCAAGAAGGCCAATGGCATCCTGGCTTGCATCAGAAACAGTGTTGCAAGCAGGAGCAGAGAGGTGATTGTTCCCCTGTATTCAGCACTGGTGAGGCCGCACCTCGAGTACTGTGTCCAGTTTTGGGCCCCTCACTGCAAGAAAGATATTGAGGCCCTTGAACGTGTTCAAAGGAGGGCAACAAAGCTGGTGAGGGGTCTGGAACACAGGCCATATGAGGAGAGGCTGAAGGAGCTGGGAATGTTCAGCCTGGAGAAGAGGAGGCTCAGGGGAGACCTCATTGCTCTCTATAACTTCCTGAAGGGAGCTTGTAGTGAGCTGGGGGTCGGCCTCTTCTCTCGTGTCATCAGTGATAGGACCAGGGGGAATGGCTTCAAGCTACGGCAGGGGAGATTCAGGCTGGACATGAGGAAGTATTACTTTTCAGAAAGGGTGGTCAGGCAGTGGAATGGATGCCCAGGGAGGTGGTGGAGTCACCGACCCTGGGGGTGTTCAAGGAAAGACTGGATGTTGTGTTGAGGGACATGGTTTAGTGGGAGCTATTGGGAATAGGTGAACGGTTGGACTGGGTGATCTTTTAGGTCTTTTCCAACCTTGGTGATTCTATGGTTCTATGATTCTATGATTTCCTGCATAGTCAACAGGTTTGTGGTACCAAGCTCTAGCAAAGTCAGTTTCTCTGCAGATCTCTTTATAAATCCTATACAGCCTTTCATTGTGTTAAGTATCTTTAGAGTATATTCCATGAGTTTTACTCAGAAGATATCTAGTGGCAGAATTTTCTCAAGCTGTATAACTTTTGTGCTTTTAAATGAGGAGAGAGATAGAAAAACTAAGGCAAAAATAGCACTGTCCTCTGTATTGCTGTACCTATTTATTCATGTTAACAAGAACCACTGGAATAGCAAGGCAGCTCTTTCTATTAATTGGAAGAGGCCGGTACCATTCCACACTCTTGTTACTTTTATTTGTAGCAGTGCAGCAAAACTACTTCTCTTTTAACTACCTCCTAGTTCATGTAACATTTGTCACCTGTGAGGAGGCATGCTAGGTTTTACTGTAGCCTTGAGAAAGCCCAAGAAATAATGAACAAGATTTAACTTAGAAAATTACGACTGACTCCAATTGATGCTGCTGATTCTCTGGGCAGATATGACTGATTAATTGCTTTGACCCTAGACCTCTCAATGACGTAGGCTCATCAGTTCACTTTACTTGCTTGCCTTGCTCTTTCTTGCCCTTATCAGTTTTTTCTCCTCTATCCTCCTCCCTTCTTCTTGTCTTGCTTATATCCTTCTTTTTGTTTAAGACACATTTCCCTTTCTTCTTTCCTTTTCGCTTTTACTTACTCTTTTTACTCCTTTCTATCTCCCTACGCTTCTCTACTGATGTCTTATTTACGTTATAAACCACTGAGAATGGAGCCTAAATGGATGGATGAATTATATCTATAGAAATGAAATAAAATGAGCTTGAGTCGAATAGCTTACATGTAAAACTATCACTGCAGAAGAAGGAGGGAAAATCCTCCAGATCTAGACATCCTCACTTCACCTACAAAAGAATCATGTTTTCTCTGGAAGCAATACACATTTAGACTATTCACTCATACTATTTCACTGCAGCAGACATTTTGAAGTGACTTCTTTCGAACAATGAGGAAACCGTATCGAGGACTCAGAAGGTCTTCCACATTATTAGAATCAGTCATGGTAAAACCATTCCTTACACTCCTTAATTTAGTTCTCTCACCTCAACTTTCAGAAGCTTAGTAAAACAAATTGATCTGTAGAGCTCATAGACTTCATAAGTAACATTCCACTATCATTAAAGGATCCAACCTCACACTTAGATTTAAAGATGCACAGAAATATTTTGTGCACACAAACAGCACACGTGGAAATGTTCTCCCAAGTATTTCTCTTTTGTTCTCTTAACTTCATCATCAGATATTAGTGTACTCAAATTACCTGTTTAACAGGCTGACATGAGTTGTTCAGTATATTTGTTTTGAGGGAGGTGGGTGTTTTGTTTTTGAAGCTAATGTAAGGAAGATTTGTTTATTTGGGTTTATTCCTTCTGCATGAAAAATGACAAGCAGAGCAATAGAGCTTGTATAGCAGGATCTCAGCACAGATCTCACACCTGCTTCAGAACTCTCACCTCTATCTAATATTTTCTGAAAATGAATGTAGTTCAAGGCTTCTTGGATATGCAGGTGCAGAATTTCACTGGCCCATGAACGTTTAGGACAAAATCAAATATTATTGGACAGAAAAAAAAAGATTGTTATTATAGAATAGAAGGCAGTATGTGTTCTGAGTTGGGTGTTTATCCCTCTCTCCTTTTCACACTAGAACATGGGAACTCCTGTCACCTCTGCAGACCAGTATAAGTAATTCACCTCTTACCAACTTGAGTTTTCTTCCAACTTTTTTGTGAATATCAATTCCAGTTTCAGCAATTTATCAGTGTGCATTTCATCTGAGTCCAGAGCTGCTTTAGCTTATCAGTGATTCTCTACAATATTTCACATCTACGTTCCTCTCTATGCTCTAAGAAGTCTTTTCAGGTTCTTCCACAATGAATAGCAAAGAATTGTCTACCCATTCCATATGCTTATTCTCTTCACGCCTCTTTGACTTCCAATTCTCCACTCTGACACAACATTGAACTACAGAATGGTTGAAGTTTCTTCTACAATCCACTCCTCAAAGCAGAACAAACTTGAGCAGGTTGCTCAGTGCAGCGTCACTACGTATGAAGGCTGCTCCAAAAGTAATGCCTCCTATTTTATGTTGGTTGTATGGCAGTAGAAGTCAAACGTTCTCACCAGTATTTGTTGCTGCATGACGGACAGCAGCAGAAGAGCAGTCTGACAGAATAGTGTCTGTCGTGGAAATGCATATGAAGAAAAGGTATGGAAATGTGTTTCTTCTCCATGCAGAAAAAATTACATCCACTCACACTCATCGGTGCTTGCTGAACAGTTATGGAGACCAAACAGTGAATGTAACCACAGTGGGTGGTGAGGTGGTGTGTTTCAGCAGCGGTTACGGCAAAATGAAAGACAAGTCACATCACAGATGGCCGTGCAGATAATTTTAAAAGTGCAGCATGCAGGCTCTTGCTCATCACTTGTGAAAATACATAGCTAGTCGTGGTGACTATGTTAAAAAATAACATTTTGTAGTTCAGAATTTGCTCTTTCAAATAATGTTATTGTGCTCTTTGTATCTATTGCAGTTTCCACAGAAATAAATAGGAGACACTGCTTTCAGAGTGACAAATGTAAGTGATTAAGAAAATTAATTTCAGTCCTATATCAAAGGAAACAGAAGTCTTTTCTGGCAGTATTTAGCTAGAATAAGTTAAAAGTGTCTGAGTTTAACCTAATGTTCCTTGTCAGGAAGCCAGATTGGATTCCACAACTGTGTTCTTGCAGATAGGTTTCTGCAACATGACTTGATGTACTAGAGTCAATATTTGTTTCAAAGTCCAAAGACCACCTGTTCTGTAAACATCTATGAACCTCCACTGCGAAAAAACTCTTGGGTGAGGACTAATTGAATGCATCAGTTTATTCCCTAAACTACTGAGGAAGTAGTAATGGTTTACATATATACACTAATAATGTCACGAGACATGTAAATGCAGAAGGTTGTACAGGTGCCAAGCTGCTAGAAGACTGCTGTGTTTCCCTAGCCAAATTGTTTTTGAGATACAGATCTATGACCGCAGTGGGATTTAGTCTGGACAGGTGATTAGCCATGTCATTAACAACAGGGAGTCCTAACTATTTACTCAGAAAGGAACTATAGTTTTGTGCATATCTGATGTATGATCACACCCCATGCAAACCAAAATTAAGGGTTGTGCTCTGTTTTCTGTCAGATGACAGCCACCCGAACCAAACAACTGACCGTGACAACTGGAAAAAACATTCAGGTAAAATACACAGATGGCTTTCTGTAAGGTTAAAGGGAGACCATTTATAATTGAACATTTTTTCATTCCTGTCCTAGGCATAATTTCAACAACTAATGGGTTAATTTATTAAATTTAACAGAAAGAAAACAGAAAATAAGGTACTATTAAATTCTGCCTTGTGGCACTGCTCTGAGGAAATAACACTCCCAATGAAAATAGAATCAAGGCCGCATTTAACTTTAATGAAAGCAGAATTTAGTCATCAAGGTACCTTCAGTTATTTTCTAAGGATCACATCAAAGTTGTCGCTTCATGGCCTTGGCACATATTACATAGGTCACTCTGAAAGTAATGTCTCCTATTTATTTCCACGGAAATCAGAACAGATACAAAGAGCACAATAACATGATTTGAGAGAGCAAATTCTCAGCTACAAAATACTATTTTCTAACATAGTCACCACCATTAGCCAGGCATTTTTGCTAGGGATGAACAAGAGCCTTCATACCACACGTGAAAATCTGCACCAGTGTAGGCGGCCCACTGTCACCGCTGCTGAAACACACCACCCGCTGCCTCACCATGCTCACATCCACTCTTTGGTCTTCAGAAACATTCAGCATGTGCCAATGAATGTCAGTGTGCCATTTTTTATGCAATGACACATCTTTGCTTCATATGCCTTTCCATGTCAGACGTCATTTTGTCAGATTGGCCTTCTACTGCCATCTGTTACACAGCAACAACATGGAATGGAATACTGGTGGGAAAGTTCAACCTCTGCTGTCATACCACCAATATCCATCTTTGATGTTGTGGGCCAACATAATATAAGAGGAGGCACTACTTTTGGAGCAGACCCTATAGTAATCCATAGTCACCCATATGTGCACCGTTTATGGAATCACAGAATCATAAAATCATTATACGTTAATTTTGCAAGACTGAAAATGACAGCATGATGCTGTGAGTTTCAGATTCTGGCTTCCGTGGTTATCTGAAGAAAACAAGATATAAAATATATCCCACAATTTTGTTAGTCATTGTGCCTATCAATTTCTTTTCAGAAACACTCCTATCATCATTGCTGTAGAGCTCAAACAAACTACCAATGCTCTGAGATGTGCATGCAACTGCTGAATACATAACCTCATTGGCCACATCTTTCAGAACCCCTCTCAGCCTGATCTAGTCACCAGAATTGGTTCAGCTAGGTTGCCATTCAAGTACTATTTTCACATACTTGAGCTGGGCAAATATATTAGCGAACAACAAACATCATTATCTTTCATCAATGCCTGATAGATTTCACCGCACCTCGTCATTTAGCAGTTGCAAATAAACAAGTCCTAAATAAAACATAGCCAAAACATTCTTAGATGTCTGCCTAACCAGAGGATGTTAGATAATGGGTGAAGGGCATGTAGCATCAATGAAGATGGAGGCATAAATGGTACTAGACAAAAATACAGACAGTAACTGGGGCAGACAAAAATTTCCACGGAATCCTATTCATAGATGGAATATAGAATGGAAAAATTCAGTACCATCAAAAAGATTGTCAGGCTTATAGACATAATTGCCATATCATTTATTTTGCTGCTCAGTGTTTTACAAACCCTCTGCCCTGAAATTAAGGCTCAGGATTTTTTTTTTTTTTTTTTCAGTATATGTCAGATTTCTAAATAAAAAACCAATGATGTTTCACAGTGTGCTATTGACATTTTAAATCGTGTTCCAGAAAGACTGACTTGATTTTTTTATTAGTTTTGAAATACATTATGGCGATGAAACTCTGGGGAAGAGCAGCAAAAGCTCACAGGATCCACAGGGTGAGATCAGCCGCTTCCCCCCATGATTTCTTTTGTTTTCCAAAAATTAATAAAATTATGAGGCTAAAAATTATTTCATAGCCATCTAAAAAGAAAAGGTGTAGGAGACCTCTGCAAAAGTCTTTTTTTATATTCACATAAATGTAATTATATGCATAAACATTTTTTTTCTATAGCATGAGGAATTTTTTCCTACGTTTTCATTTCTAAACAAGTGTTTTGACATCACGAGATGCTTGAAAGCACCTAATCATGAACACATATTGAAATGACATGCATGAGTTGCAGGTGTTTAGAATAATTAGGCACTCAATTACAGTTATGCTGGGTGCTCAACAGAGTCATGTTCTCCATGCCATTGTTTTTGCAACTGAATGCCTATCATGAGAATGAAGTGCAAATAATAGCCTTTCAGAAAGAAAAGTTTTAAAAGACAAATGTAGAATTATCAAAGTTGAAAAGTATAAAAACAGAAAAAAAGATAATCTTTTATTGATCCTCTCAAAATGATTGGTTATAGAAATGTATGTATGCACTGGTTTCTTATTCTGTATGTTCTCTGTGACTGACAGCCCAGTCACTCGCTACTGGAAAATACAGTAGAATCTCCAAAGAATGCTGAGACTGTCCAGACGCTCCTTCAAGACATGTAACAATTTTGTCTTGCTGTACAAGTGAATATTTAACCTTCTGCCAAATAAGCCTGCCTGAAAAGTGGGACTTGTGAGGTGACCCTTAACAATAGGAATGTTTTTAATGAAGAAAAATGTCAGGATTAAGAATGTCATACCTTTCCTGCTGTAGTGGAAATGCTAATTCATAACCTGAAGCAGTGATGGAGCACCTGGTAGGAAGGCAGGGCCAATCCAGAGGAGCTCAGGTGCACTCAATGCAGCTGAGTGACCAGAAGGGCTGGAGCCGGGATCCAACTCTTACAGACCTCATTTAAGCGTTGGCAGTGAAGACAAAGAGAATTTGTTGGGGATTGATGCCTGCTTGAGGCCTTTTGAAGGTGAGTGAAGTCTTTGTTTTGTTGTTTTTTTTTTTTTTTTTTGTGTGGTGTCTGTGGCTGCTGCTTTGGAGGATATCCTCATCTGTTGTGGGTCTTTGCTACTATGGTTTTCATTGTGTTACAGTGTTATACATAATGTACCAGAAGTAATAAAACAAACAGAAACAAACCTGGATATGACCTAGAATCGATGTTCACGATATAGGTTAAGACTACAAATTCTAGGGCTAAGAGTGTTTATTTGCCATTTTTGTTAGTGGAGTACTCAGCTTATGCCCATCATGAAATGGAGTTACTCCATGTAACTCATGTTAGATCTTCTCAAGAAAGTAAACTTGTTTTATTTATGTAAAGGGTAACTAAAGCCCTAAGGGTAAGAGAAGGGCAAAGAAAACAGCAACTCTCTTTAACTTCACAAATACTACCTTACATGGGTAGGCATAACGTTAAAAAAGTGCAAGAACTCTTCTTTGGTGTATCTCCTCCTTCTTCTACTCTAATATTTTTGCATCCCTTCACTTTTTTTCCCCTTCCAGTTTTTACTACTAATGAGTTTGTATTGGGGTACTTAATTTCCTAAGTTCATACCAGTCATTAATTCTGTCTCCTAGGCACAAGGTACTTTCTTTTGAAAATACTGAAGTAGCACCCACCATAAATCAACTACTCAAAGGTGTCCTTTTTTTTTTTTTTTTTTTTTTTGTGTGTGTGTGTGTGTGTCTCCAGGAATCGTAGCTTGTAAGAAAACACTATGCCTATAATTCATCTCTTAATTTACCATTTCACATTGCTGTGAATGCCTTATCATTCCAGTAGCAATGGTCAGAGCATGAGTTATTGAGAGGTGTTGGGTGATCTGTTCTATTTCATCATCTCTCTCCATCTTCAGTAGCACAAAGTATGTTTCTGGGGTTCTGTAAATCTTTAGAAGCAAGGTCACAAAAGAGATTGCAGTGTGTAATTATTTTGAAGACACATGCACAGATTCCCACACAAACGGCATGAATGTTTTACTAGGACTGAAGTGGGAGCTCTGCTGGTAACTTCAGTAAGTTCAGACCTGCTCTCCACAGAAAATAAATATTCTTGAGACAGAATGAAACTAGAATAAAAAAAATGAATTTACAGAATTCACAAATTCAGAATACAGAATTCACGAGTATTTGAACCTATTCAGAACCTGAAGGGTTTTTGCTGTTCCCAAAATTGAATCTTGATAAATATGAGGAAATTAATTATCTTCCCATGCCGAGCAAAATATAGACTAGCAAATAATGGGAAACAATACTACACTGTAGGTGAAGAGTCAGAGCAAATATATAAGAATATACAGGTATGTTTGTAGTCTCCTGTTGATTTTCTTTGTTTGTTTGTTTTTTTAACCAAGTAAAGCTTGGATAAATTCTGAAACAAATGTGTATATTGTGAAAATATGTTGAGTTTCACAGACAAAAAAAACCTTAAAAATGCACATAGGAAGGGTAGAGGGAATATGTGTTTAAGTTATCAATGGCCGAGGTCTGAAAAATGGTAAAAATTTCTTCCTAACCTTATTAAGAGATCAGTGTCTATATAAACACATTCTACTAACAGGGTAGAAGAGAAATTACTTACTATAGTATTTTTGCTAAGACACCCACTTGTATAGTTGTAAAGTACTGTAACACGATAACTCAAGCCCAAGAGAGAAAAATAATAATGGTGTGCTATTTCTATTTGCTCTGCATATATGCATACATATGATTACTGAAAAATGTTGAAGAGCAGCTGCCTCAGAACTTAACAGCAATCCCAGCTCCAGAAATTTTCAGCTGTCAGTGCCTAAGGGTAGCTTTTCAGTGCAGCTAGGTTTACAATGAAACAAACAACAAATCCTGTCTCCAGGGTTACAATTATCAGTTAAGTAAATAGCACTTTTTAAACTTATCTTCTAAATACATCAGTGGCAAAACCAAAATTGCTCAAGATAACAATGAACCAAATACAGGTGTGTCTGCATGTAGCCAGTCATTTCTAGAAGAAAGTCGAGTCAGGAGGTGGGGTAGAAATGAAGAGGAATGATTGGAGAAGCCCAACACACTCCCAGGAATGCGACTTGAAACTGAGCAAAGGGGAGCTGCAGTGCCTTGCTGCTGCTATGGCAATCATTTATTGGAATGTTCTCTCTCTCTCTCACCCTCCTCAGTGTAATGGATTTTCTTTCTTCTGCAGTAGTTTGAATCAACTGTGTTGAGTGTGTTGCGAGTTCAACGAGTAAGAGATGAGTTCTCAGAGGTAGAACTCATGCTTACACTGGTAGAGATCAGTCCTCTTACTAATCATTTCAGAAATTTCAGGGAGAACAAAGAGGGTTACTTTCTTCCTGCGCAAAAAAGAAAAAAAAAAAGGAGAAAATTGATAAAACTCACTAAAAAAAAAAAAAAAGCAAACTAAGTTCATCTTCATTTAGCTTATGCAAGACCACATTTAAATTGCATACAAACCAGTAAAAAAAAATCATTTATTTTGTCAAAATGAAAAAAAAAAACCGAAACCATTTTGCTGGGCTCTAACACCAATGGGCTGAACATCAAACTAAAACAAGATATTTTTCACAATATTACTTAATCGAGGTTAAATGGAAAAGAAGTCATAACAGTATTTCCTCTTAATAGACCCAAGAATGACTCCACACAAGAAGTGACAGACTCTCCTTGGTGAATTTGTTAAGACTCTTAAAACTTCTTAATAGCCTTTAGAGAGGTTACAATAATTCAGTTAAGTTTGTTAATGATAATCCTAACTACTCTATATTTATCCTAAGTCATACTCAAGCTTCGCATCGGTTTTAAAATATTGTTGAAAGGTTAAAATATACCAGCTGCAGAATGCTTGGAAGGAAGGGTTTTGACTTCTTATTGTAGTATATCTTTGTGTGTCAATACAGAAATGTCAATGCAACCTCTTAATAAATAACAGCTTGCTTAAGGTTAACAAGAAACCGATGGTTAGCCTTTTCTACTTGTAACATCAATGCTTCCCTGATGCTTTACTTTCAAGTAATAATACAACCATGCTTGGTATTAATAATAAATTGGTTTTGTTTTTCTTAAACTCACCTTCAGTTAATTCATGTTCAAACAGGCAAATTTAATTAATTTTCAGCAAATGAGTTTGATTTAACAAACTAATGGTCTCAAATGGTTCCCAAAACAGCAATTGGCTTTGGGTGCCCTACATCTGAAGATGAAATGGAAGCACTCAGCATCTCCATAATGGACATCATTTTTCATGACGTAGCATCTTTTACAGTAACTTCAACAAAAACTTGGTATAAACCCCAACAATTCAGATTTGTGTTATACACTAACATTAGTTTATGATTATAATGACCAAGGTGCGAGCTCCCAAATCCTGTGCATCAGAGTCCCCTGCTCCTTATCAAGTCTCCTGTGCTGTGACAACTGAATGGTATTTTTCCTCTGTCTTGACCTTCTTCCACCACTGTTAGCCCATAGTATCTATATAAATGTTTATGGTAGTCTAGTTTTTATCTTCCTCTGAATTGAAATAGATAAGCATAAAAAAAAAAGACTTACAGTGTTTATAATGGTTATGCCAGAAACCAATTAAATCTAATAAATAAAAATCAAACAATATGGTAAGGTATTTTAAAATGCACTTTGGTCCTTATCAGCAAAAAGCAGGATTAGACTCTTTTCTAGCTGTAGCTGCTATATCACACTGCTTTTTAACTAAGCTAAAAACAGGAACAAATTCAAAGGAAAGCAAATAATAGCTGGCTTCAAATAGAAGTAAACTGTCTTAGCAAAGTTCAGAATAAATCAGTTTTACATTTTATCTGGACAAATTCGTCCAACTCTCGCTGCCATTAGGAAGTTGCTGTGTGAAGCTTTTGGATAGAGAAGGATGTGTTTTTATACTGTGAAAGAGAATCACCACTATTAGAGACTGCATACTTAATAAAATCTACTGTCTTAAATGATAACATAGAAATGTGCTTGCTGCACCATGTATTTCTCTTCCTAGGAGAAAAGCTTCTCACATTACCAGGCTGAGTTTCCCTCTTTGTGAACCCACTGGTAATTAAACTATTCATTTTGTCCTATTTTGGGCTTCATATCTGTTTTCATCCTTATGTTCCAGTGTTGTTGGAATGAGAACAGCTGTGATTGGACACATTACTATCATCACATTCTCTGGAGGGTCTGTACTTGGGGTCTTATAACAGCTTAAGTAAGTCTGCTCCTGTTCCGAAGAAAAGAAATATTACAAATCCAAATATTTTCTGTCAGTATTTAGTATAATATTTTCAGCAACATGTCCTATTATCTACTTCTGAATTCCATCTTCTGCATTTCATAGAAGTGTTTTTAGTGAAAAAGCAAACATTAACTCCCGTTAGATAATTACACTTTGGGTTTTTTAGAACGTATGGGTTAAACTGTCACATCACCTGTAGTAATGAACCTTTTTCCTTGTTCTGCACCTGTTCCACAAAGAAGTTTAGCAGGAAAGGTAAAGATTTTAAGCTGCCTTAATTTACTTCCACACTTAGACACCTAAGCAGAAGTCATTTTTGTTGTGAACAGCAATAACATTTCCAAATTTCCTACAGCTGTTTTTCACCTACAGCACTGACACATTTACCCTCTGGTCCCATATTTAAGATGAGAATTATTGTGAAGCAAGGAGAGACAAACTGGGCATATTAAATTATGAAGAACTGGAATTCCTTTAAATGACCTTTGAATACCTTATGTCTTTATGTAACACCAAAGAATAGGTAAGCTAGAATCTGCCATAGAGTTTTTGACAGTTGCTAAAGGAGTTTTCTGCTAAAAGCTTCCATTTGAAAACTCGAGTTTGTTTTTAGGGAGAGAATGAGAAACAGCAACTGAAAAATCACAAGGAAAAAATTAAAAAGAGCTGAAACAAAACGGGAGATGGTTTGTAACTGACAACCTTTTTTTCTTTTTCTTTTTTTTTTTTTTAGGACGCACTCTAGTGGACACACAACAAACTGGAATGAGGATGCAAATGTTATGGAAGAATAGATAATGAAAGCCACTGGTTGGAATTAGTGATTAGACTTATTTATCAGCATGTTTAAAGTTGTCTTAAGTAATTAGGCAATATGTTTAAGTTATATGTGAAGGCTGAAGTTTCCATAGTTAACATAAAAAAAGGACTGAAATAAAAACACTGGCTCAAATGAAAACCTTCATCTATTTATCCAGCTAGTCCATTCAAGGCTGGCACAAGAAGTTGCTGTGTATACATCATTAATATATTTTAATTAGATTAATAATGATATTTAGTAGAGATGATCAACACAGTGCAAATTCAGTAATTTTAAGATCTGACTAACCAAAATGAATATACTGACTCCTGCAGCTCACCTATTATCAAACAGTAATCAGTAAAGATTTTAAATTGTAGAGCAAACAATTAGTGTCATTAAAAAGTACCTCATGATTTCTGACAGACTGACTTCTTTTAGCACACGTTTCTATTAAGCCCTTCCAGTACTCAAAGGGAGCATGTAAATAGGAGGGGGTATGACTGTTTATGAGGGTGGATAGTGATATGACAAGGGGGAATAGTTTTAAACTGAGACAGGGGAGGTTTAGGTTAGATATTAAGAGGAAGTTTTTCACATAGAGGGTGGTGAGGCTCTGGAACAGGTTGCCCAAGGAGGTTGTGGATGCCCCATCCCTGGAGGCATTCAAGGCCAGGCTGGATGTGGCTCTGGGCAGCCTGGTCTGCTGGTTGGTGACCCTGCACATAGCAGGGGGTTGAAACCAGATGATCATTGTGGTGCTTTTCAACCCAGACCGTTCTGTGCTTCTATGAAGTCACAGAAAGTTACTTCTTAATGACATAAATACTCTGATTAAATTTTGCATTTAGTTCCATGTACGAAACTTGCTTCACCTCCTGATACATACAGCATTCCTTCTTAATATCAGAAACCTTTCAAATTCATGTCAAGTCTTTTCAATCTTTTTTTTTTTTTAACTGTATATTCAAATGATGTTATTGTAGCCCCTACTCCAAAATGATGTTGATACACAAAAATCTGTATCTGTAATAATTTTATTTTACACTTCAAAAATCAACAGGTAATCAGTGAAAAATGTATTTATTTCTTTTATCTCAGTTCCAGTTTTCTTTCTCCAAGTCAGCTGTGCCAGCTACTGTAGTTTAAGAACAGAGAAGAAGCATAGCAAGCCAAAATTAATAGGCTTTATAGGAGCACCCAGAAAGCCAAGAAACCAAAACAACAGGTATGTGTATAATCAGTTTTCTGTACAAAGTACACTAATTAAGGCATAGCTCTTCAGGGCTGGCTAGTAATGAGTAGAAATAGCTTTTACTGCTTTCAGATCAGATGGAACTTTCTTGTTCAAACTCTGGCATTAAATCAGTTGCAATCTAAAGACAAAAACAAATATATCAGTTGTAAGCATTAACATTGTACAAAGAAGGAAAAAACGTATAATACAGACTAGTCTTCATTCATAAATAGAAATATGCATTTTTCCATTCAGTTAAATATGATGAAGCTTTATCACTAGTCTGATTCTCAGATTCAGTAAGTTTGGATGATGTGTTAGATCTCTGAGAACAGACTAGTCTCAATGCTAAAGGTGAATGCAGTTTCATTTCATTGATCTATTCTCAATTCATATTTTAATACAAAAATTGTAGCACTGCAAAACCTGCAGTGACATCACCAATGGATTTATGTAATCCAACTTTAGACAACTTCGGGCATGAAAACTTCATGGATGATGCAGAAGACGTGTGACAAGAGAAGGTCATCTGAGCCAACGTGACTTCCAAGGGCAGATTGTGCCTCACCCATCTGGTGGCTTTCTGTGATCAGTGGATAAGGGAAAGGTGGTAGAGATTCATGCACCTAAACTGCTGCAAGGCCTTTGATACGGTCCTGCATCACATTCCTGCCTCTAAATGGGAAAGATATGGTTTGGATGAGTGGACTGTTCAGTGGATAAGCAATTGGTCGGGTGGTCATTGGCAGAGGGTGGTCTCTGTCCAGGTGGAGGCGCCTCAGAGGTCCATCTTGGGACCAGCACTCCTCATCATTATCAATGACCAGGACAGCACTATCCAGTGCACTCTCTGCAAATCAGCAGGTGACACTAAGCTGAGTGGTGCATTCGATGGAACATAAGTAAGGGATGCCATCCAGAGGGATCTGGACAAGTGTGAGAAGTGGGCCAACATGTACCTAATGAGGTTCAATAAAGCCAGAGTAGGGGCAATCTCAGGTATCTGTACAGACTGGGAGAAGAACTGACTGAGAGCTACCGTGGGGAGAAGGACTTGGGGGTTCTGGTGGATGAAAACCTTGATGCAGTCAGCAGTGTGTGTTTGCAGCTCAGAAGGCCAAGTGCATCGTGGGCTACATCAAAAGAGGAGTGGTCACCAGAGTGAGTGAGGTGATAGTTCCTTTCTGCTCCACCCTTGTGGGCCCCATCTGGGATCCTGCATCTGTGGCAGAGCTGTTGAAACTAGATGGCTTTTAAGGTCCCTTCCCTTAATGGGAACCCATTTTATGGTTCTTTGATTCATTTGCACTTGGGATTTTGCAATTCATTCATTTAAGGACACAAAATAGACCTGAAGCCTCACGTACAGTTTTTAATATTCAGTTGCCAGAAAACTATAAAAAATAGGGCTAGGTAGGACTTAAAGGTCCCATCACATTTACCTCTTAGCAAAATCAAAATAATTGTGAAAACTTGATCCTAGGTATAGTCATAAATATATTCACAAATGTATTTGAAGAACCTTTATAAAACAAGTTGTTAATAAAGCAACCTTAAGCTTAAAGCACGTTAATACCACATTTAAGTTTTGAGTTGGAATGAAGCTGATAATGTCAGAAAACAAGTGAGCAGATGGCTAAGGTTAATAAAGGAGAAAGGGTTCAGATGTAGTATTAAAACCAATCCAGCAAAATTTCAATTCACACTATCAAGACTGTAGCTGAAAAAAGATAGATGCATCAATATTTATCTCCAGTGATGTGCATAAAAGGCATCATCTGTTAAACGTACTGCCACGTTTACAGTCAGTGATGGTTGATTTACACCCTCTCACGTACTTGCATTATCAAGCACAAAGTAATTAAAAAAAAAAGAAAAATGTAGAAGATGCTTGCATATCACAATTTAGATTCACAGTTGCAGTGCTGTGCAGAGTAAGTACTGTTACGCTGGCACGAGGCTCAGATAACATGATTCTTAGCAGGTCTTTGCTGCACTGAGCGCTGTGTGTGCTTGGTATCTGGTCTTTTACGTTAAATAGTTGTTCTGATAACTGTGCAGCAGAGTGCATTCTGCTGCACAAACAATATACTTCAGACCAATCAGAAAAACCTAGATAATTTCAGTCAGAAGCAAGTCAGTGATTTAGTCCATGTTCTGTATGATACCTGCTCAAAAGGCAAAGTAAGGTTGCTTCCTCTCTGAGAATATTAATACTTCCAGTCGTGACACACAACACTATCCAGGGGCATTTTAAGTCTTGGGGATTTATTCACTCAACACCACATGGTGGTGTCTCAGACTGCACCAGACAACAGGCTAAGGACAGCGTGAAGACCGTGGTCAAAATAATATCCCTTAAAATTATAGGAACGAACCAGCAGAGGGTTAACTAGAACAGTTCTAATCGTTGATTTGACAGCAAGCAAGTATCCCATAATTAATTATTTGTAATCTCTTTGTTTCCCAACACTTACCTCAGACAGTCCATTCTCATCTAGTTCCTCAGCACTGGACAAATTAGGTGCTCCTGCTCTATCTGTAAGTTCAGCTGTCGTCTTTTCATTTTCCCATGGTAATGGAAATATGTTTTCAGTTAAAAGTATTCTATGTCATGAGTAATTATCTACAGTGGATACTTTAAATACACTAAAACATCTTTTACGTATTAATGTAAAAACAGTACTTCAGATGCATACCACAGGAATGTTAGCGTGTGAATGGGGCCTTTGCATGCCTGTCAAGACTATTTCTTGAGGTTTTCTTTTAAATTATAGGATTCTTTTTTCTTCTATTTATATACGTACATACTTCTGTTACATTTACACTGCCATTTTTCTAGTTATGTGCTATCAGTATTTCAACACAGAGCTCTAAAAATATCTCTAAACTGTTGTGCTCTGTGAAAAGTTAAGAAATATTTCACGTTTAAGTTAAATGTCAATTATCAGTCTATATTTTTTAATGAAACAACGTTATTCACATGGACCTCTGTGTACTCAGAGGAAGATCACAGAATCAACAGGCATCCCAATTCCAAGTGATAGTTCCTTTTCCAGGTACAGCAAATGAACTTCATGCTGCCACGCAGTAAAACATTACTGTCTAGACATTTAGATAAGACATATAAGTTTTAGTATTTTCTCATTAAAAAATAAGCTGAACTTCAGCTAGATTTTACAATAAATTTATGATCTGTTCTGAATAAAAGCTAAATAAACCCAATAGAACAGATGAAAATTCAAATATAAAACCTAGACTGAAAGGAAGCATTACACATCCTTCCCTGATGTTTGCTTTTTTTTTTTTCTTTGCGTTAGTTCAACTTTTGCTTCTAGGTTTCTGCCTTGTGTTCTGTATTTAGTGACTGAATCTGAAAAAGACAGCTGATTAACAATATTTCCAAATCTCTATTAAGCTTTGGCTTAAACCTTGGGATCCTGCTGCTGCAGCTGCATTTTCTCTTCTTCGTTCTGCAGTTTCAACTTCTCCCGTTCTTGTTCCTATCATAAAGAAGACAGCTGAAGATAGCGTACACACTTTTGATACTCATTCCTCACACCCCTGAGTAGTTAATATTTATTACATCCTATAATTTGGATTAGGCTCTTTGAAGTTTTGCACAGCATGTAGTATTAATTAATCAGATTAATCCATGTAGATTCTAGGGGAAAAAAAATAGGTAAGGTAATTAACTACAGAAGACAGTCTACCACTTTTAAGCTACTTTACATATGAATCTTACGTTAGCTGCTCTTCAGCTTCGACTCTTCATTTTTGGTAACGTCTTGCCATACAGCAGGTAAGCTTTTTTTCCCCAGCTGCCGACTAGTCCTTCATTTATTATTTCCAAAACATGATGTTCAAACACTTGTTTTGTTATCTTTTCTTTTTCTAAGTGACTATAATCACTGCAATAGTAGTCATACAATGACCACTATTGTAGGAGAGCTGCAATATGATTGCCCCAGCATCATATGCTACTATAATTATGTATTATTATTAACCTGTCGTTGTTCTTCAAATCTCTGTTGTATCATCAGCTCTTCTTCCTTCATTTTTTTTAACATTTCAAGTTCTTCCAGGGCTGCCTGCTGTTCTTTTTCCAGTTCAATCCTTTCCAACGTTCTCTATTTCAGAGGTAACACAAAATCAATTTTAAAAAACAGCAAAACATAAAGAGAGATTAAACAGCATCGATTAGATTGCCATGAAATGCTTTGCCCAAGCTAGATCCACCTTTTTTTCTTCATCTAGATTTCTCTTGTAATTGTAAATCCAGTGTGCCAGGTACTCTATGGGGTCTGCAGGCTGACGCTCCACAACCTCTGCCAGACCCTTTTTCAAGCAATCTCCCAGGCAACTCTTCAGGTATTGAGACTCCATTCGTACCTACTGACGATAAACCAACAGCCATTCGTTACCAACTGCAGAATTCAGACCACACAGTCATTTGCTCACCTTCCTCCACCCACACCACTGCCTTTCCCAATAGGCTGGGGAACAGAATTGGTAAAAAAACAAACAAACAAATCAGGAGTTTTGGGAGTATTGACTGCATCACATGCTGAATGCGATGCTAATAATTTCATTGAAGCTAATTTAATCCGGCAATTAATAGGAGAAAATCGTCTAAATGGGGTAGCGGTCCCGTCCCGTGCCGTTCCTACCAGCCCGCTCGCACGGCGCGTCCTCCCGCGTTACCGAGCAACCGCACGCCCTGCAGGCGCCCCGCGATCAGAGCAAGCGGCCGGGCGGTGTCGCTGCTGCTCCGCCCGCTGCCTTCGATCGCCCGCCGCCATTTTACGTCCGCGTACGCCGGGTCGCGGAAGGTTGTGAGGACACCACGCATGCGCGCGAGCGAGCGGCCCGTCTGAGGCGATGGCGGGCGGCGGCGGCGTGCCGGCGGAATCCCGCGTGGGGCAAGTGGTATTGCCCGGCGACGTGCTGCTGCCGCCCGCGCACGCCGAGCAGGACCCCGAGCGGTTGCCGCTGGGAATCAGCGCGGCCCCGCGGGGACGACTGCTGTGCGGGCCAGGCCTGCGGCGCTGTGCTGGCGGGCTGCTGGTGACCAAGTGCGGGCTGCTGCGGCACCGGCAGGCGGGCGGCGGGGCGGCGGCGGGCGGCGCCTATTGGGTGGACTCGCAGCAGAAGCGGGTACGGCGCGGCGGCGGGCTGGGGGGAGGAGGGGGGGTGCCGGAGGGGCGCGCTGACCGCTTGTACCGCTTGTACCGCGCGCAGTACGTGCCGGTGAAGGGAGACCACGTGATCGGCATCGTGACGGGCAAGGTGGGGGACGTGTTCCGGCTGGATGTGGGCGGCAGCGAGCAGGCCTCGCTGTCCTACCTGGCCTTCGAGGGCGCGACCAAGAGGAACAGGCCTAACGTGCAGGTAACGCTGCCCGGTGTGCGGCCTTTTACCTTAGCAAAAGGTGTTTGTGCTGCTCACGCAATAATAAGGATTAATGTGGCTTTATTCAAGGTTTTACTGTGGCCCGTGGCAGACCTGATAAAGTATTGCAGTAACAGGCCTGGCTTTTTATGCTCTTAATGTCTGGAGAAAGAGAAACTGAAGTTTGGTACTTTAAAGAGGAACAATTATTATGTGCCATATAATTCTGTAATCTTTGGTAGTAGCCTTCCAGATTCTAGTGGAGATAGGGTTACACATCTTTAGTGTTCTTAAAGATGTCTTCAGTAGAAGAGGAGAACACTTCCTATTATAACAGCTCATTTCTCTAGCACCATAATTCATTTCTCTATCACCAGTAATTAATCACCTAATCACAGAATGGCCAGGGTTGGAAGGGACCTCAAGGATCATGAATCTCCAGCCCCCCTGCCACATGTGGGGCCACCAACCTCCCCATTTAATACTAGAACAGGCTGCCCAGGACCCCATCCAACCTGGCCTTGAACACCTCCAGGGACGAGGCATCCACAACTTCTCTGGGCAGCCTGTTCCAGCACCTCACTACTCTCATAGTAAAGAATTTCCCTGAAGATCATCTAGTTCCAATCTCCTGTCATGAGGAGGGTTGCCACCCACTATGCAGATCATACTGATCGTACTGCCCAGGGCCCCATCTAGCTTGATCGTGATTGCTTTCAAGTATGGGGCAGCTACAGCTCTGGGCAGCCTGTGCCAGTGCCTCACTGCCCTCTGAGTAAAGAATCTTTTCCTAACACTTAACCTTTACCTCTCCTCTTTTAGTTCAAAGCCATTCCCCCTTGTCCTATCACTCCTATGCTATATAAAAAGTCACTCCCTTCAAGTATTGGAAGGCTTCAGTGAGGTCTACCAGGACCTTTCTCTTCTCCAAGCTAAACAAGTCTAACTCCCTCAACCTTTCTTCACGTGAGACGTGTTTCCTCTGAGCCCTCCTCTGACTCACTCCAACAGCTCTGTGTTCTTGTGACAGGGCCACAGGTTTGGACACAGTACCCGAGATGGAGCCTCATGACGGCAGAGTAAAGGGGAACAGTTATCTTGCTCACCCTACTGGATACCTCTGTTTGGATCCAGCCTAGGATGCTCATGGCCTTCTGAGCTGCAAATGTACACTGCTGGTTCTTGTCCAGATTTTCATCCAATTAACAACTATTTTGCTGTCTTGGTGCATCTTTATCAATGGGATGTTTCTTACAAATGTGCAGTATGATCTTCACTACTACTTTTTTGTTTTCTGGCACTGCTTGCTTTAGGTGGGAGATCTTATTTACGGTCAGTTCCTTGTAGCAAATAAAGACATGGAACCAGAGATGGTCTGTATAGACAGCAGTGGAAGAGCAAGTGGAATGGGAGTAATTGGGCAAGATGGCTTCCTCTTTAAAGTTTCCCTAGGTCTGATAAGAAAGTAAGTACTAAGAAATCCAGTTGTGCTAACCTGTAAGTGTTGTGGTTTAACCCAGCAGGTGGCTAAACACCACATAGTCATTTGCTCATCTTCCTCCGCACACTCCCCCTGCCTTTCCCAATAGGCTGGAGAAAAACAATCCTGTGCAGCTGAAACTAAGAGAGACACATTGTATTTTTAGATAGGATATGCATAACTATCTCTAATCCAAGTAGTGTGAACTAGCCAGTAATCAAGCTATGTGGTTGTTCTAGTGCATTGATGCCAGTTTTACTGAGTAGAGGATGCATGTACATTGAGCAGTGTGTGATTATCACAAAATATGAGTTAATAGTGATAAATGATGGTAAAACTTCTTGTTGGTTTGATGCTGAGGGGAGGAAAAGTAGGCATCTGTTCTTTGAAAAGTGGCTATTTCATACCTGGGTTTTGTAAATGATTTGGTTTACGTGTCCTATCATCAGTGTGAACAGGTAAGTTATTTTTCAGCCTTGTTCTCGGTAACTCTTCTGACTAATTAGAAAAACAATTATCAATACACAAGTGCTCTCCTTAGGTGCGTGTATTTTGAGAGAAAAACTTAAATTCTGATACGGTATGACTGTTTTGGATGGACATGCAATTTGAATCATCTTACCTTTTGGAGTTGCTCTTGTGATGCCAGTGCTGCAGCTTAGTTGCTGACGGATAATGATGTAATACTTATCAAACACAAGCATTCACTTTTTCCTCTAACTCTTACTGATCTTATTTTACAGACTCTTGGCTCCCAAATGTGAAATAATTCAGGAACTGTCACAGCTGTACCCATTTGAGCTGGTGCTGGGAATGAATGGAAGAATATGGGTAAAAGCAAAAACAGTTCAACAGACTTTAATTATAGTAAATATTTTAGAAGCTTGTGAATATATGACTGCGGAGCAGAGAAAACAAGCGCTTGCCAAACTGCCAGGGAATTGAGTAAAAGAAAATTTGAGCTTTTGTGAGAACTGTAGAACACTTTGTTTATTTTTGTATTCACATTTATATTAAAAGTCGCACTAAATGAAGTCCCAGATGTTTTTGGTGGTTCTTCAATTGCCTTGATGCACTCAGCTGGTTCTACCTTATGTAGGATCACTTGTGATTATGAGACACTGTCCACTGTTGTGGATTTTGACTGGTGTGGAGATGGGTTTGAAAAGCTTCAATTAACTGTGGGTTTTGACATGCAGTTTTCAGTTTTTCCAGAAGAAAACCAGTCAGTTTATAAGCTGGGTATATTTGGTTTTGCTAGTTAATTTTAGAGCTTCAAGGAGTACGTGTTAACTTGGGGGAGCTGAGAGCATCCTGTGAATCATCTGTTCTGGTCAGGTGTTCTATATAAGTAGTGATGGATTGATCTACTGCTATCTTAGAGAATTTGAGAATAGAGACACAGGTGGAGAAATACAAGAAAGGAATTGTAGGGTGTACCTGAGAGTAATTACAGTGTGCTTCAGGCAAGTGATCAGGTACTGCTGAATGCATTGTCCCAGTGGCATTAGAACTTTCCCTGAAAGTTAACCTGGCTAATAGTCTGGATGAAACAGAGTTCAGAATATCACTTCAGTATGTACATTTGGGAAACGTAATGGCTAAATGGAGGTGCTATGAGGGCTGTTCTGAAAGTAATGCCTCCTGTTCTATTATTTTGGCCCACTGTGTCAGAGGTTGATGTTGGTATGGCAGTACAAGTTGAATCTTCACTCCAGTATTCTGCTACACGTTGTTGCCACGTAACAGATGGCAGTATAGGGGCAGCATCTGACATGGAACTGCTTGTGAAGCAAAGATGTGGAATTGAACTCCTTCATGAAAAGAATTTGCACTCATTGCCATTTGTTGATGCTTGCTGAATGTTTATGGGGACCAAAGAGTGGATGTGAGTATGTAGCCTGGAAGGCCAACTATATTCTGAGCTGCATTAAAAAAGGAGTGGCCAGCAGGAAGAGGGAGCTGATTGTACCCCTCTCCTCGGCTCTGGGACTCCCAGTACAGGCAGGACGTGGAGCTCTTGGAGCAGGTCCAGATCATCCACTAAGATGATCAGAGGTCTGGTGCACCTCTCCTCTGAGGAAAGGTTGAGGGAACTGGGATTGTTCAGGTTGGAGAAGAGAAGGCTCTGGGCAGATCTCATTGTAGTATTCCAGTACTTGAAAGGAGTGTGTAAACAGGAGGGGAACGACTGTTAAAGAGGGTGGATAGTGATAGGACAAGAGGGAATGGTTTTAAATGGTTAAATGGTTAAATGGTTTTCCGGCATTAGGGGGATACAGTGTCATTCTGTTGTATGAGTAGTTTGTTTCTGATGTTTTAAGGAAGTTCCCTGGAGTGGTGGTGTAGTTCTTTGACAGCTGCTTTCTTTGGGAGCAGTACTTAAATGTATTCATCTAAAAGTCTACAACAATGAAGTTTGCTGTTTTAAGCAATTACCTGGATATGTCTTGTGGTTCTTAAGCTGAATGACTTGATAAGCAGTATTTAATAAATTAGAAAAATGTTATATTTTGAGTAAGCCTGCAAACGTCTCTTAATTCCAAATAGAAATGAAATCTTTCCTACTTACTCAGTCTTTTATCCAAAGTTCAGTCCACAGTATTTAATTAAATGTGTTTCCTAGTCATCTTTCTCATTTAGTAAGTTGCTTCTATTCATAGCCACATCTGATTCATCTTTAATATGCTTACTTAGGGCTTCCCCTGATTCAGTAAAAACCAAACTTTAATGGTTTCCTTCTGAATTGTAGCCATTAGATTCATAATTCCTTTGTTTCACTGCCCTTTCTCCTTAGCATTTAGGGTATCGTTCATCTGCTTGGTGGATCTTTTTTAAAAAGGCTTTTAGCTTTTCCTGTCTCTTGTGCTCCCAACTGAAGTGACTTGCACCCACATGCTATAAATACTT